GCCAGTACAGCCAAAAGAAGCACTGCCTAGAAGCTCTGGAGATACCAGAGATTTGCTCCTATCATCGTCTTCTACGTGAGAGCGTAGTGCAAGGAGTCCAAGTATAGATAGCTGAGCTGGCAGACGTCACCTCGCCACCAGCCCAGTTAACAAGACATGGCCTCGACATTCTTATGTGTGCTGACTACTATTGGACTCTTGTCTCTGGTGAGGTCCAAATACTGCATGGCGCTCTAGTCGCTGTTAAAACAGACTTTGGATGGACACTTCAAGGACCGATTCCCCACAGCGGTTTGACTGCCTTTTGTTCAGCTGAGGCAGTTCTGAAAGCCAATGTTGTTGGAAGCACATGCTCATTGTCTACCGAGCTCCGGTCATTTTGGGAGCTGGAAAGCATAGGCACCACTGATCCTAACCTCCCACAAAAAGAAGAGGAGAATGAATTTGTCAGAGCGTTTACATCATCCATCAAGATAACTACTGGACGGTACGAGGTGGCCTTACCTAGGAAGCCAATGAACATTCCGCTGGCAGACAATGAAGGAGTTGCAAGGAAGCGTCTAGTGAACCTCACAAAGAAGTTGCTTAAGGACGATGTGATGCTTACTGAGTATGATAAGACAATTTGCCAGAATCTCCAGCAAGGATTTGCAGAAAAGATTTCACCGAGTGCAGACAAGGCAGAGAACCGAGTGTACTACATGCCTCACCGTGCGTGTTACGACCTGACAGCCTCTCAACCAAGGTCAGAGTCGTGTTTGATGCCTCATCAATTAAACCAGGGTGTTTGACTCTGAATGACGCACTAGAGCCAGGACCAAACCTGAATCTAGGCCTCCTGAATGTGTTACTGAACTTTCGGATTCATCGTATCGGCCTCAGTGGAGACATTGAGAATGCATTTGTACAGCTATTACTGAGACTGGAAGATCGTGACGCTCTACGATTTTTCTGGCACGAACGAATGCCAACAAAGTAAGAGGTGAACCTTCCTGTAGACGTTTGGAGGATGACAAGGGTTCCTTTCGGAGAGACCAGTAGCCCGTTCCTTCTCGCAGCCACGCTACGTCACCACTTGTCGATAACATAGGACTATCCGGAAACAACGAAATCACTAGCCAAAAGACTCTACGTCGATAGTCTTATAACCGGAGCGAACACCGAGGAAGAGGCAGAACAGTTCTATCGACAAACATTACATGTCATGAAGCTAGCCGGAATGACAATGCGGAAGTGGAACACACATCCTACGGAGCTACAGCAGCTATTCAACGAGAAAGGAACCGGGTGTGTTTTAGATCAAGTAGAGTGTACCACCCCTAGCGTCTCTGGAGTGGACTTGTGTGGGACAAAAACAGCGATTACCTGGCGTTCCCCATGGGGCCTGTTTTGAAATTCCTAAACCGGAACTGCAACACAAAACAATTCATTCTCCAGGCATCATCTCGCATTTATGACCCAGTAGGACTCCGTTCCCCAGTCACCGTGACAGCCAAGCTGATGTTCCAAACCCTCTGGGAACTGGGTGTCGACTGGGACGCGCCACTACCTGAAGAGGTTCAAATAAGATGGACGCAGTGGCACACAGCACTGCACCACTTAACGAAAGTAACAGTACCCCAACGGTGCCTTGAACTTCCTGAGGATGACCGAAACGAAGTCCACATCTTCACAGATGCCAGTCCCAAGACGTATGGGGCTGTGGCGTATCTGCGCACACAGACTGTACCAACGAGGGTGACTTTGGTTTTGTCCAAGACCCGGTTGGCACCGCTAGAGAAACTTTCTCTCCCAAGACTTGAATTGATGGGAATGGTGATAGGGGCACGGCTAAAGGACTACCTTACTAGGTCGTTGAACCTACAAGCCGCCAGCTGGTACCTCTGGACAGACTCAACAATAGCACTACATTGGGTGCGAGGTTCTGCTCAACAGTGGAAGCCCTTTGTGGCCAATCGAGTATTGGAGATCCAACAGCTGACTGATCCAGAGCTTTGGAACCATTGCCCTGGACTAGAAAATCTGGCTGATCTGCTCGTAAGAGGGCTGACACCCGAAGCACTCAAGTCGAGCGCGACATGGTGTAACAGACCGCCGTGGCGTACAGAGCCACCAGCAGCCTGGCCGACGCATGAAGCGGGTGTTGATATGACCGCGGCAGATGAAGAGAAGAAACAAGTTCGAGTCCATAGCGTAACATTGAAAGAAGAACAGGTTTAGCCTATGCAGCGCCACAGTTCCCTCTCGAAGCTTGTTCGAGTTGTTGCCTGGATTCGACGATTTATAAATAACTCTAGACATTCCAGCCAAAAACACGGGGGTTGTTTGACGACCGAAGAAGTAGCACAAACTCAAACATGTCTGATCCTGCAGATTCGACAGGAGGTGTTTCAGAGAGAGTTCCAATGCGTTCGACGCTCAGCACGCATGAAAAGCAACTCTCGGTTGCGGAACTTAAACGCATACCTCGACAAGGACGGGGTGCTGAGTGTCGGAGGATGCCTCAGTAACGCTGACATGTGCAACAATGCAAAGCATCCCATCATTCTTCCATCAAATCATAATTTTACCGAGCTTTTGACCTATGCCTCGCATCGACGACTTCTCCACGCTGGTTCCCTTGAGACTCTGACAGAACTGCGAGAGCAGTTCTGGGTCGTTCGAGGAAGACAGATGGTAAAAAAGGTGCTGAAAAAATCTGCGATCTGTGACCGTGTCAACAGCCGAGCGGCCACCGAGCCATTTGCTCGACCCCCTCGAGACAGTGTAACCCCAGCCGCTCCCTTTGAGGTGACTGGTGTGGACTTCGCGGGACCGCTCTACACAAGGGATAAAGGCAACTACAAGAAGTCTTACATCTTTATTTTCACCTGTGCCGTTGCCCGTGCCATTCACCTCGAACTAGTAACCGACATGTCCAACCCCATTTTCTGATGGCCTTCAGAAGACTTGTGTCAAGAAGAGGAGTGTGCCGAGTCATCTTTTCTGACAATGCAAAAACGTTTCAGCGTGCTTCAAGGGACCTGAAGAAACTGTGGACAACGTTGCGTGGAGAGGAGATACTAGCCTACTTCGTTGATCGGCAGATGCAGTGGTAGTTTACAATCGAGAGAGCTGCCTGGTGGGGTGGGTTCTGGGAGAGGATTGTCCGGTCGGTAAAGTCGTCGCTCAAGAAAGTTTTGAGTAACAGCTACTGCAACTTTGAAGAACTGACGACCATCTTAACTGAAATTGAGTCTGTAATTATCTCGAGGCCTCTGACATACGTCTACACCGAAGCCACCAAAAAGGAACCACTCACTCCTTCCCATTTTCTGGTGGGAAAGCGTTTAACTGCACTTCCGACCAGCTCCAGCGCGGAGCCTGTGCCTCCCCTTGAAGGGCAATATAACAGGTGGTGGCGTGACCGTTAAAAGATGGCAGATCATTTTTGGCGTAGATGGAAAAGGGAATACTTGACCAGTCTGCGATCTGCTCATTTCACGGTGCCGACTTCCTCCAGTGCCCTGAAGAAAAGAACTCTAGTGTTGGTCCACCAACAACTCCAACCGCGACAACTTTGGAAGACGGGATAAGTCGTACAAGCATTGACTGGTCGAGACGGGCACATACGAGCTGCTATGGAGCGGCTTCCTAATGGTACCAGTATTAGGAGACCCATTCAACTTTTATACCCCATGGAATCTATTGACTAATGACGTCATTGTGGGGGAGTGTGAAGAAACTCAATTTTTGTTTTTTTTGTACAGCCATCGCACATTACGCAATCCTAATTAACATCGTCATCTTCTGTTTGGTTTTGTCAAAGCATGGCGTACGGCTTGTTCCTCGCAGCGGAGTTCTAACAGTACAAGCATGTTTTGGGCAGCCTAGGTGTTCCAGAATTAAAACCAACTATTTATGCTGGGAATCGAGTTTTGATGCTCATGATTGTAATGAGAAACTTATAAAGTAGGCGTACAAAAATGTGCCGCCCAGATGTTACGCGAAATGCCACCATTTATACACGTCTACGTCAAATCGTATATATTCACTGGTTGATCTCGGCCAAAAAGTGTTGCGCCCGATTGTATTTGCCATCGATGATTGGTTTCCCCTGTTATATTATGCTAGTTTATAACCTGGGCTCTACCCATAGTTATTCGAAAGAGCACTTCGCGCATGTTAAGACAATCTTTATATATTTATTTATTTATTTATTTAGTGCACCTTTTCGGTGCGTCTAAACAGCCCGAGGTCCTACATAAGGCTGCGCGGTTGGCATATATTTGTAGTGTTGCATAAAAAGCAGGTACAGAAAACGCATGCATCCTAACATAAAGGAACTAAAACGTGAAATATATCAGTAGGTAATAAAAATGTTACAGTCTATAAAATTTGCTTAGCCAGGTGTCAGTGATCCTTTCCTACTTTACAAGATAAAAGTAGCGATGCAAGCGCCTTGGTACATTCTTACAAATCCATGATACCGCGGGCAACGAATAGAGACATACACGGACGGTAGACAGGACGAGCGATGCACTTCAACTAAACATTTATTTAAAGTGCAACGAAAAAAAAAACAAAAAAAACACCACGCTATAATCGAGTAGACTCGAAATCAAACGGCGAATTTTCGGGTTATTTATAGAAAACCAGTCTGCCTTTTAGAGCCCGACTTGACGCGATTATGGTCTGGCTGTTTCGTGTGTGGCGAATAGTTTCAATATCGTTTGGTTGAAATTCAACACTCGTCCAGTATATTGTCTATCTCTGTCCTTGTTTATTACGTGCTGTGTCACCAAGTTTTTGTTAATATATTATTTATCTACTAATATTTGTCATACGCATGAAAGTCTGCGCGAGCTGCAAGCGACAGGTAATAAAAAAGTAGAGGAAAATTATTTTGATATTTCTAATTAGCAAATTACCAAATAAAAACAAAAACAAATGCAAAATCGTGGAGATCTACGTTAGAATCATAGGCATGTTTAACTTTGCAGTAAAAGCAAGATATTTACAGTCAATCTTGCCCCATCCCGTAGCATAGAAGGGAGTGTCTGCAGGAAGATCGCTGCAATTAGACGGAAGACAAATTGGCTGAATGTGTTTTGTAAAGTTTACTCTCTGTGCCAGCTTTACCAGAGCAATGTCTTTCTGTAAAAAAAAATATGATTCATTGAAGTACGTAATGCTCGATATTGAAAGATAAACGGCCCTCACATATACATACCATGAAAAGTCCACAGGTATTGTGAATAGGCGTGCAGATGCTTTCAACATCAACACACATCACTTGAGTTACTGGAGACGCGCTGAGGGTGATCATTTTGTCGTATGTATCCAGATATGAATGTCTAGCTTTGGCTTCCTTGTTCTTTTCACTAGGAGTTTCGTGTGTTTTGTGGCACTGTGTGCCCTTCGTTTTTAGGGTGGTTCCAAGACGAACTGAAAACTCTCCTGGATCTTTATCTCTACAAAATTCAAGCACAGAACAAAACAATGAATACGGGTTACCTCATCATGAAGGTCCTTAGTTTGAAAACCTTTTGTCCCTGCCACCCCACTTCAAAGAAGCTAATAAATGAAATTAAAGGAAATGAAAAGGAAAAGGAAAACTCAAATGTGCATCCAGGGCGTACAGAGAACAAGTCGTTCGTTGCTTTATATGCTAACTATTTATTTACATTATTTACACGTTGGTTCTATGGAGTGTCGAAGTACGACATGCCTGCCCTTCTGATCACCCGAGCAGAAGTGCCCGAGCGCTCTTGGCGTCTTCTCCTCATCCGTTGCCGTGGCTTATATGTGGTCGCCACACTACTCCCCCCTCAGTCTGTAGGACGTTTGTGGAAGAAAAGAAATGGACCTTGCGTCACGGAGAGTTGCTGTGGGAGTGACTCATAGTAGTTGTGGAAAGTTGGGTGGACTCCATGTGGGCAGCCTTGAGTCTGTCAATCGATATGGTTTGTTGCTTGCCGTTGATCAACACTTCGAAATATTTCGGAGTCTTTTTCGTGACTAAGTACGGTCCATGATAAGGAGGTTCAAGACTTCGGCGAACAGTATCGTCTCTTACGAAAACGTGTCTTGTCTTGATAAGATCCTTACTAATATAAACTGGCCGTGGCGACCGCCGTCGTGGGGATGTTGGTCGCAGTTTCGACATGGTGTCTTTCAGCCGATGAGCATAGTTGGCTCGGTCCGGAGGAACCGCTGGGTTCATAGGGGTGAAAAAATATTGTGGAGGACGTAGGGACATTCCGTATACGAGCTCCGCAGGAGTGCATAAAAGTTCTTCTTTGAATGCCGTTCGCGGGCCCAGAAGTACTAGCGGGAGCGATTCTGTCCAATGAGGATTATCTTGACGCGCCATGTTTGACGCTTTCCGCTGGCGATGAAATCTTTCAACGAGATCGTTAGCTTATGGGTGGTAAGCCGTCGTTCTTAGTCGACTGGTGCCAAGGAGACAGGTGAAGTCGCTCAAAAAAGTGCAGACTGAAACTGTCGACTGCGATCTGTCGTGAGAGTGGCCGGCACGCCAAACCGTGACATCCAGATTTGCATAAATCCTTGAGCGACTCCTTGAGCTGTAATACTGCTAATGGGGAGGGCCTATGGCATCTGATGAAGCGGTCAATGGCGGTGAGTATATATTTGTTGCCTTGTGATTCTGGTAGTGGGCCGACTATGTCTAGGTGCACATGCTCGAAACGGGTACTCGGAATAGGAAAAACACCCGGTGCAGTGTGCGTGTGCTGGTGAACCTTCGCACGTTGGCAAGGAAGGCAGCTGCGAGCCCAGTTTCGAAAGTCAACGTTGATGCTAGGCCACACGTAACCCGCGGTTATTAGTTTCTGTGATGCACGGATACCGCGATGTGACAGCGCATGGAAGGAGTCAAAGACTGGTCGTCGTAAAGCGACTGGAAGGAAGGGTCGAGGAGCACCAGCTGACATATCACACCAAAGGGTGGGAGAGTCCAGGTATTGTGATCTCTCGAAGAACTAATGCACCTGGTGTATTTCTGAGCCTGGTTGGTTCTGCGTCATTCTGTTGGTGTGCCAAAAGTGTAGCAGGAGTGAGGTTTGGATTGTCTCATATTTGGGTGATAACGGCTCGAGACAAGGTGTTAGCAACGATGTTATCAGTCCCCTTTATGTGCCGAATGTCTGTGGTGAACTCAGTAATGAATGACATTTGTCGCAGTTCCTGAGGAGAGTGAGAGTGAGCGCCTGCCAAGGGCTTGTGATCCGTAAAGATGTGAAATTGGCGAGCTTCCAGAAAATAACGGAAATGACGGATAGCGGAGTAAACAGCCAGGAGCTCACTACCGAAGGTGCTGTATCGGCGTTCCGTATTGGTTAATTTGCGAGAGAAGAAAGACAGCGGTTGCCATACACCTTTGAGGAACTGCTGGAGTACAGCTCCAAGTGCGATGTCGGAGGCGTCGGTGACAAGACATCTTGGCGCCCCCGTTTCTGCATGATGAAGCAAGCTGGCACGTGCAATGTGTTGTTTGATGCTGCCGAAACCTTCATTTGTGGCATATGTCTAGTTTAACGGTGCTATTTTTACGGTTGGTAATATTTCTTGAAGAGGCTGAAGAAGCTTCGCGCATCCAGGGTCAAAGCGGCGATAGAAATTCACAAGCCCGAGGGAACCCCGTAGGTCACGCGCTTTTTGGGGCTGGGGGTACTCTTTAATAGCCTTTACTTTTGACGCGAGTGCAGGAATGCCGTGACAATCAATTTGGTGGCCGAGGAATGAAACGCAGAACACACCAAGTGGGACTTTTCTGGGTTGATCATTAGGCCGTGCTAATCCAATTTTCGATATAGACATCGTAAGTGGTGTTGGTGTTCTTGCTGGGTGCGACTTGCGACGAGAATGTTGTCTATGTAGGCATATACGAAAGGCATTCCTCTTAGCACTTGGTCGAAAAATTGTTGAAATGTCTGCGCAGCGTTTCTCAGGCCAAAGGGCATTCGAAGAAATTCGAAGAGACCGAACGGTGTTGTTATTGCTGTCTTGGGAATGCCCTCTGGAGCCATGGGAATTTGGTGGTAAGCACGAACAAGGTCGAGGGTGGAAACAATTACCGCTCGGTCGAGAATTGCTGCTGCGTCGTGTATGTGGGGTACTGGGTATCAGTCGGGTACGGTGGCTTGATTAAGAGCTCTATAGTCCCCACAAGAACGCCAGTCACCTGGTGTTGATTTTGGCACCATGTGGAGCGGTGATGCCCACGGGCTAGTGGAGAAACGTATGATGTCCAGCTCCAGCATGTGGTCAAAGGCCTGTTTGGCAGCACAGTACTTGTCGGGAGGGAGCCTCCGGGGTTGAGAGTGAACTGGAGGGCCGGTTGTTTTAATATGGTACTGGGTGTTTGGCTGCACGTGGGTGGTAAAGGCGCAGGGACGAACCGGGGATGGAAACTCTCGCAGAACTTCGGCGTATGGAGAGTCGGAAACGGAGAGGAGAGGAGAAAGTCCTATCGACTGCAGTTTCGTCCGAACTCCAGATACTGCCAGATGCGTTGTGCCATCAAAAAGACGGCGGCCGCGCACATCGGCTAGGAGGATGGATTTCTGCAGAAAGTCTGCTCCGAGTATGGGGCAGACTCCGAGTATGGGGAGGGCTCCGAGTATTACGTGTCCGCAACGATGAATACCCACGGAAGATACGACGCATTCCGAGGTTGACGGTGATGGTTCGCAGCCCATATGTAGGGATGGTGTTGCCGTTTGCGGCCTTTAGTTTCGAAGGTTGTTGGTTACCACGGTCTTGAAGGGATGGTAATACCACCGAAACTTCTGCACCGGTGTCGACCAGAAAACGTGTTTTTGAGTCTTTATCGGTAAGGAAAAAGAGACAAGGGCGACTCTGCAACTGGCCAGCATCACTCGTCGTCCCTACTAGTCGGCTGGATTGTTTCCCTTCTTCTGGTAGGTACAATTAGCGTGCGCCAGCGCCGAAGGTGCGATGATACCAGCACTGTTGTGTGGAACGGCTATGAGACTGACTAAATCGACGATAAGGGCAGGGACTTGTCCGTCGGAGAGGTGAACACGAAGATAGAAGGGCAGAGACCATCTCTGTGAGCTCGTTCACGCGAAGTAGAATGCTGGTGAAAAAATCAGCAGGGATTTTCTCTGGTTGTGTTACTTGATTGACACCTGAAGGATTTGAAACGTCGAATATTCGATCGGCCAACTTCGCCAAGTCCTCTACGGTAGCGCTCTCAGCTGATGCCAACGTCATGCGGACATCATTGGAAGACGTTGGAGGAATAGATGACGGAATAAGGTGTCGTCGATTGTGCCGTTAGCGAGCAACTGTTTCATCCGGCGGAGAAGCTGTGACAATGTTTTATCTTCTAACTCTTCTGCAGTAAGCAGCCGCTGAAGTCTTCGTTGCTCCAAGAGGCCTGTTCGACGGACGAGCTCGTCCTTAAGGACGTCGTACGGGGTAACTGGAGGAGGAGCGATGATGATATCGCGGACCTCAGCTGCATCTGTGGATGATAGTGCGCTCACTACGTGATGAAATTTTTTGTTCTTGTCGGTGATTCGCCTTAATACGAACTGCGATTCCACCTGAGCAAACCATAATTGTGGATCTGCCGGCCAGAATGGTGGCAGTCGAATCGCTAGGGCTGCTACCTGCGGTGGATTTACAGAAGCAGGTGAATCTGTTGCCATCTCGATGCGCCTGGTTGCGATGTTCCTCGTCCGGGTCACCACTTGTAACGAGTCGTGCGTTGCTTTATATGCTAACTCTTTATTAACAATATTAACATGGTGGTTCTATGGACTGTCGAAGTACGACATGACTACCCTGCTGATCACCCAAGCAGAAGTGCCCGAGCGCTTTTGGCGTCTTCTTCCTAATCCGCTGCCGTGGCTTATATGTGGTCGCCACAGGTGGTTCCAAGACGAACTGAAAACTCTCATGGATCCTTATCTCTCAAAAATTCAAGCACAGAACAAAACAATGAATACAAGTTACCTCATCATCAACGTCCTTAGTTTGAAAACCTTTTGTCCCTGCCACCCCACTTCAAAAAGGGTAATAAATGAAATTAAATAAAATGAAAAGGAAAAGGAAAACTCAAATGTGCACCCAAGGCGTACAGAGAACGATACACCAAGCCCAGACACAAAATGGTTTATTTTACGGTATTTACTCATTCAAAGTTGTATCTAAAGCTAATATCGTATGACATTTTAGTGAACTGTTTCAGCGGAATCTTCACAAATTGGCCTTCGAGCTAATTGGTCGAGTGATCAGGTGCTGTATCCATCTTTAATGCAGCATAAATCAAAA